GGGGAGAAGAGAAGAAGGAGGGCGGAGATGAGGAACAGGTGGAGGTGGGAATAAGGAAAGAAAACATGACCTTTCTACCACAGGGGCCAAAAGAACCCTTCTAGTTTCCATTTGCTGAACCAAACTTCCCTTAAGGAACAGTTACATGGCCAACCAAATTAATTCCTAGCTGAGGTCACTATTTGAGAGAAGACTTTAAGCCAAGTTTCCCTAAAAGTAAGTTAGGAGTCTCAATTGCTCTTTGGTGACATATTTCAAAGGCAGGGCTTCTCAATTTCGTTTTTCTACATTAGCTTCACCCTGGAGATAATGAAACAAAACTGAAGAGCCCAGTTAGAGGTTAAACAACGATCAAACCAATCTTACTTTTAATTCAAAACCCTTTGAAAGGCAATTCTGTTTTTTCCTTCACAGACATGTTTGACTATCACACTAACCAAGAGACATCTAAAATTTATCTCTTATCAACGACCCTTGGTGTTCAGTTAATGGCTCAAACAAGATGAACTCTTACAAAAACAAATCTGTGTGCGGCCAAAAGTCACATGTATTTAGAGGCACCAGAGCTAGAAATTAAATGCAAATTAAAATAAAAATGGTTTCATTGGAAATAAAAAATTTTTTTAATTGAACTCCTGTAATTGCTACATGGGTTTTTGTTTCTTAAATTTTGTTTCTTAAATAAAAGCATCTTCCAGGGCACAATGTGACCTGCTTTGACCTCCCAAACCCAAAAGGTAAGGTAGCTGCCTATCTGGTGGTTAAAAAGGAAATTTAAAAGAACTTGATAAAGCTTAGAGTTTGGGGGAGATCTGGGATTGAAGAGCAGCATGATGAACTAGAGAAGTGTTAACTAGAAGAGTCTCTGGCAATTGTGGCTTAAAAGCATCTTCGAGAATGACCAAGGGATGAGGACACAGTTATGGAATCACTGAAATCATACCAAGTACAATGCAACCTGAGTTCACTTTCAAACGGATTCTCGCCTTTGGAGCAACGTTTTATGGAGGTACTGTAACTAGATGAAATGAAAAACCATCTTTGAGGTTGACTGCTTATTTAGTTGTAACTATCAGGAGGATATTCACCAGCCTGAAAGTCATCAGTAGAAAAAGAGAACATGGATGAATGAAGCTCAGTATGGACGAGTTGGGCCACATCTAGATGTCGAGATGAAAAAGCAAGGTGGCAAGAATACAAGATACTCTTGGACTTCTGCCTGATTGTGATGCAAAGCTCTGTTAAGATCTGCTCTCCTCTTTCTCCACCCTGAAGGCCCTCTTGCCCTACTTCTGTTATAACAGAGATGTCCCAAAACATGATGACCCATGGACACTAAGCTCAAACTAGATCAAAGGTGGAGCTACCTTGCCCTAGCTGGTTTGGTTCAGTGGATAGAGCGTCGGCCTATGGATTTAAGGGTCCTGGGTTCAATTCCAGTCAAGGGCATTTGCCTGGGCTGCGGGCTCAATCCCCAGGAGGGGACGTGCAGGAGGCAGCCGATCGGTGATTCTTTCTCATCAATTACAGGAGTTCAAAACATCATTGATGTTTCTATCTCTCTTTCCCTCTCCCTTCCTCTCTGAAATCAATATATATAAAGATGGAGCTATCTCAAAGAGGTACAGCAGAAAGTGGATGCAACAATAAAACACCTTGCTTAGGCTGGTGACAGAAATGTTCATTTTAATCCTTGTAATTAAGTACTAACTGTATGTCTTGCCTTCTCACAAGTCCCTAGGAAATAGATCCATATACTGCACATATCTCTAGCTCTACAATTTACCAGGCAGGAGTTACTCAATTATTTGGAATACACAACATATGTTGATTTTAAGAATTTATTAAAATAAAAAATTTTCCAGGAATAGCTGATGTTATTTAATTTTCTGGTTAAGTGAGGATCTTATGCAGAAAATATCTCTGGTTCTACTCTTACTTTACAACCTTTCTTAGATTAGAAAACTTTCTTGTCTAATCAAGTGAGCCTATCTGCATCTTCTACAACTGACTGTCCCTGATAACTTTATCTTGTGTAAGTGCAAAGATGCAGAAGGTATGCAAGACTGAGCTGGAGGAAAATGACTCCTAGGCACTTAAAATATGTTTAAAAGACCAGATAGGCTAACCAAACAACAAACGAAAATCTCTAATATTTGGCTTACGAATATGTGTAAGTGTTGAATAATGGGGGACTGCTGGTTAATTGAGTACTTTAATTGATACTCTACTGTTTTGTTGACACTAAAATGTGTACTCATTCGTTCATTTATTCAACAAGTATTTCCTGAGAGCCTACCACAGGGCAGGAATTTTTCCAGGTGTTTGAGATACACCTGAGAACAAAACAGACAAAAAAAAATCCTACCCTCATGGAGCTTACGTTCTCCAGGTGTTTGAGATACACCTGAGAACAAAACAGACACACACAAAAAATCCTACTCTCATGGAGCTTACATTTGAGCAGGGGAAGGGAGAAAATAAGCATTAAATATAATGAATAAAGCACATAGTGGATTAGAAGATAACTGTTGTGGGGAAAATGGAGCAGGTTGAGGAGCAATCAAAGTGTAGAGGAAGATGAGTTATAATTTTAAGTAGGGTGGTCAGGGTAGGCCTCATTTAAAAGGTGACATTGAGCAAAGAAATGATGGAGATGAGATAGTAGGTCACGTCGCTGCTGGGGAAAGGGTGCTCTGGGCAGAGGGGACAGCAAAAGGAAAGGGCAAGGGTGGATGGATACCTGGCCAGAGAGGCTAAAGTGGGGGGAGGAGGGAAGGGAGCAAGTGGAAGGGACTGGTGTGTGTGTGATAATGTGAGTGCGCCAGGCTACTGTCATCAATCTCCTCCCTTGACCTTGATTCCCTGTCAAGAGCCGACAGTGCCACTCACCTGAAACACTGTGGCGGCCTCTCCACAGACCAACATAAAGATGCAATTACTGGAGTGCAAAGATGGCCTTGAAAAGCAAGGGAAACACCTCACTTTGGGCTGCTGATCCGACTTCAAAGTGCTTTGACAATTCAGGTCTATGATAGGAGGTAAGACAGCGCGGTCTGCCTCTACCTTATGGTTTGCATAACAGTAAGTCACAGGAAGCCAGAAAGAGTCCTGAAAATAACCCTTCTCCTTCCTGGGAGTGAGACTAGTTTCCAGGAATCCTGACAAATCACACAAATTTTCCCTTGTAAAGCTTAAATGTAACTACATTAAGTTCAAGTTCTTGTCCTCATTACAGGGCTAGGTTTCAACATGAATGAAGTGTGCCCGTCTGGGAAGTGAATGATTACCACGTACACACACACAAAATACTCGGATTCCTTTAGAGAGTCTAATTGTACTGAAACCGGTTTTTTTCAGAAAGGCGCTCTTCTGTCCTAAGTGACTTTCTTGTATGAAAATACATGGCATTCGTTATTTCAGCTAAAGAACGTCAAGAACTGAATAATCAAGCGTTCGGGTGCGAGGTTTAAAAGTTAATACAGCAGCACAGAGCGTTTGTATTAACGCTTTAAGTAGATAAATTAAATTGAAATGTGTCTCTTGAGCAGTCATTGAACAAGCAAGATGAGAAATAAATTGAGCTCACATAGGCCTTTATGGCATCTAACAACTGTGTCTGTCAACACGCGGATCCTTTTCACTGTCAATTCGACACGTTTTGCAGACCTTGGGCCTGCAATTATTTCATTTCCTTTCTTGGGAATGTAATTTCCACTTACTTTTGGAGAATAAAAGGCAGACAAAAGGAAGAAGGAGTCGCAGTATTTTCTGATTAAGATTATCTGTGTAAAATCGTAAAGGGGGAAAAAAATCTATACACACACACACTGAAGCATTTCTCAGAAACGAACTTGTCTCAGCCAAATTGCTTTTGTGTCCGGATACTGGTTCAAATGTAGCGAAAGTGCTGATGTCAAATTAGGTGTTAAACGAATTTAACAGGAAAGATGAAGAATGCATATAGATCATCTTTCTGTTAGAACCGTTCAAATGCAGTCAAAAGAAAGGCAACGCATGACTGCAGGAGAAAATGTGCTCTGAAACACAATGAAATTAGATAAAACTGTAAATCAGCAAAGAAGGCCATTCATTCCAAAAGAGAGTGGGGGAAAAGGTTAATAGTACCAATGAGAAAGGCAAGAATGGAAGAAAATACCAATTGGCAAAAAGAGACCTAAATTGAATTTCAACTTCATTTGTCCAGGCTTCACCTTTTAAACTAAGACAGGTAGAGGCACAAAAAGGGCTCTTTCTCTCCTGACAGAGCAGGAAATCAGAGGTTTAATTAACTGTGATTATAATTACAATCGGCTGATCTGATTCGTCTCACCTCTTCCTTTTCTTCAAGTGACAAACCCCTTGACATCCTGGCAAGAGAAGGAAAGCAAAACTAGACTAATTTCAAAAAGAGCCTGCCACTGTTATAAAACAAACCGATGCTCCACCAGATCTGGCGGAAACATAGTCCGTGGCAGGATTAACTCGGTGACCGGAGTGTCACTGTCAAGCCAGTCTATAGAGATAACTGTTTACAGGGTATGTTTTCATTCTCGGGGTAGAAAGATATTAAGGCACATCTTTATGTGAGCACCAGAAAGTGAGGCTGTGAAAAGGTACCCTTCAAAGGACGTTGGAAGATGGGAGTTCTTCTGAAAGATCTAGCATCTTCTTCAGCTCCTCATGAACCATTAAGAGGGATGATGTAGGCATTTAATCTTGAAAGAATGACTCGGTATCTTTGGATGCTGAATAATGATCACCCAGCTCACCCCACTGTGAGGAACCTGATTAGCAAACCAGTTTAGGGGCAGGAATTCTCTTTACACGCGTCTGCTTTGGATAAGAATAAGACCTCCAAACTAGGAGCCTATTGGCTCATCGAAAAGAGGAAGAAGAGCAGGTACGGGCTCTCTGAAGAGAAAGAAAGCAAAGCAACACACGAGTTAGTTATCACAGACTGTTCTGCACACCAGGTAGTAAAGAGCAGCATTACTTACTGAAATGTGACCTTGGGACTCGCGCTTCCTTCCAATTTACACGGCCCTTCACCTGGCTCAGGTGCTGGGCTGTTGAATTCTGCCTCCAGAGTTTTCTTGTTCAAGGCTGTTTTTGCTACACTGGATACAGAACCCAACACCGGCATGGATTTGGACTCTGAGGTGGCTAATATCCCGGTTGGACCTTAAAACCAAACACATACCTCCAGTTTAATCATTCTGTGCGATGTTGAGTAATATGGCACTGAAAACAGATGAGCTGAAAAGCCCTCAGGAAGTGAAAAGGCCAAGCTTTGTTAAGATTTCCAGAGCAGGTAAAAATGGTTCTATGAGAAATCTGCTCTGCTTTGGTGGCACTACTCAATGCCCCCGGACCACGCTGAGAAACTGGGTACAGGCCTTTAAGAAACCACAGACCCCCAGGCCATGGTTCCCCCACTGACCGGAGTCCTCAAAAATACTGGACCTGCGAAAACTCTTTTCTTCTCAGAATATGGCTTTCTGGCAGCCCTCCTTGAACCATGTGGCCTCTCAAGAGTTAATTCCTCCCCAAATTCAGCTCTGCATGTTAAACACAAAGTAGACCGGTGTCAAGAGGATCTTTCTCAAAGGCCCATGGAAGACTTCTTAAGCCTTCAACAGCGTTTCTGAACATTTTCATTTTAATGTGATTGAGAAGTAAGTGGACTTATTTCCTGTTCCTATACAGACACGGGATTATAAAAATTAAGTGGCAAAGAGTTTGGCTGGTTAGCTTTTTGGCTTTTCTGTTCTTTGGGACAGGATGAAAAACACTCTCGCAGGGCTTGTTATATTAGTTTTTGGCATATCAACCTAAAACTTCTGGGCACTGAAGCTACGCTCCATCGTGACTTATTTCCTGTCTTTAGTTTGAAAGATACTGTCCTAGGCAGTTTATTTTCAAAGCGAGATTCTAGTATGTTTTTTTTTTCTTGAAACTGCAAAAGGAATCCTTTGCAAACAAAGAGATTCGAGATTCTGAATATTCTGTTTGAAAAGGCCTTTCCCCTCCCACCTGTGTTAATCCCCATGTTGCGTGGGGATGTGGGAGCAAAGAGGGGAGGGCAGAAAGATCCAGAAAGTTCTTGAAAATATAAATGTGAAGCTGAATTCGAGAATCGCTTCTGAGCAACTCTATTCTGCCCTTGGATAATTGTTGGCTGCAGCATTGATAGCTTTAACCAAGCTGTCCTTGTCGGAAGGCAAGATCTGCTTCTGAATGCACCAACGCCTGCCGCTCGTTCTGCGGCTGAAGCCAATTAAAAAGGAGGGAGGGTGGGTGAGCTGAGCCAGAGCTCTTATTTTTCCTACAAAAGGGAATAAAGACAAATGCTTAATGTGTAAGATTATTATTATTATCATTACCGCATCGTGTTTAAGCTGCCCAGTGTTTTCCAAGAGGCACTCCCTGCTCTTTGAAATGCCAGCTTGCTGGGTCATAAGTCTAGGTAAGACAAGGGAGTATCAGGGTCAAAAGAAAAATTCTAGGCCCAGTCAGCACGGCTAGGTGGTTGAGCATCGACCTATGAACCAGGGGGTCACAGTTTGATTCCCGGTCCAGGCACAGGCCCGGGTTGCGGGCTCCATCCCCAGTAGGGTGTGTGCAGGAGGAAGTCGGTCAATGTTTCTCTCTACTCGATGTTTCTATCTCTCTCCCTCTCACTTCCTCAATTAAAAAAAAACAAACCCTTATTTTTTTCTAAGAAAAATTCTAAAGAAAAAGGTGCTTCACTGGCCCTTGGGATCTGAGTTCTGCAAACCCAGGCTACCTCTGCTTCTCTTAGGAGGCCTCCTTTCTCCACTCTGTGACCTCACATTTAGCATTCCTTTAGCTTGTGTGTAGAAGAAAAAAATCCCAGAGATTAAGTGTACCTGAGGCACAAACCTATCAAACTCATCCTCTGTAATTTGCTCCCACCATGCAGTTGGGCTGATGTAGCTTCCTAACCCACCCCTCTCTGTCCTGGAATTTTCCCTTGTCGTTTCATCATCTTTATTAATAGATTTACATGGTAAATACTTCTTCCAGTTTGATGCTAGGATAACATCTGTACCATCTTTTTAAAAAAGGTATTTCTTTTACTAGATTACAGAGTTTGTAGGCTTTTTTCCTTCCCTCCTCCCCCTTTGGCTACTAGGGAGTTCAAAAGAAAACTTCTGCTCAATTACAAGTCACTCCCCTCAGTATGTGTACATATCTTATTCTACCTTCCCTCAAATTATACGTTGAATATTTGTATATTGGTGGAAATAACCAATTAAATAAGAGTCTCGCCATGCCTATAAAACATGTTCCTGCCTTCCTCCAAATTTTGAAATATTCAAATTTCCAAACTGACTAAAATAAAAATATTTCCTGGTGCCTCCCGCTGAAAACTAACTCTGAAATAGTGAGTGCTTCATGTTTGACCAAGTTCATGAGTGAGGTTAAGAATGTTTCTGGAGGACCAAAAAGGTCAGTGGCAAAATACAAAATTGGCAGAACACGAAAATGTCATCCACGAAGTCCCACCAATCAACGGTGGCTACCTGAGTGCTTTAAGGATGAGATGCTGGAAAAGTCACAGCACGGATTAAGCCACAAAATGAATGATTCATATGGAGGCTGCTAAATGCTTGTAAACCAATCTTAAGGAGGGGAAAAAAACCCCCACTCTTATGGCAGCCTTTAACTTTTCTGAGAGGTGGCTGTTTGGGGGCGGGATAGAGGGGGTTCTTATAGGATAGTAACAGCAAAATTTCCAGACCAACAAAAAAACTGATTTTTTTTTTAAAGAAGGAAACAAAGGCTTCATCTTTTCATAGTAATGGTTTGGCTGGTGGTATGCTGCTTCCAGTTTAAGAAACCAATTTACTCAATTGTTTGAGTAAGTCCCTATGTGAGAACCAGAGCCTGCTTATCAAAAACCCAAATCCTTAATACTCTAGCAACTTAAACTTGACATAAACTTGATGGAAATGCAAATTAAACTGTTACAATGGGCTAAGCTCATGGGAGTTCACAGGACTAAGTCTAGATGATTCAGACTATTAGCTCTAGTTGCTGATTAATTTAACTTCAGTTTTTCAAAGCCAGCCTCCTGGCCTCAAGAAAAAAAATCTTATAAAGGTTTCTGCTAATTCCCATGATCAGTTGACAGGAAAAAAAAAAAAAAAAAAAAAAAGACATACCAAGTTAGTTAGGGAACAGATTTTGATGTCCAATACATGGGTATCATGACACAAATGCAACTTGTGAGCTCAAGACTTGCTCAGATGGTCACAGTTGGTGACAGAGCTGGAATTTCTTGATAGAAAAAAAAAAAAAAAAAAGACACACCAAGTTAGTTAGGGAACAGATTTTGATGTCCAATACATGGGTATCATGACACAAATGCAACCTGTGAGCTCAAGACTTGCTCAGATGGTCACAGTTGGTGACAGAGCTGGAATTTCTCATCACTTGGCTCACAGGCAGAGACACTAAACTGAATGGTTGTGAAGAACAAAGACAATTTCTCTACAATTGTAACTGATGTGTAATTACTACTATGATTACTGATTATCATGTGCTGACTCTGCCAGGCATGGTGGCTAAGCACTTTTCATATATTGACTGACTTGATCCTTAGAATAATCCTGTTGACAACCAACATTCCCTTTTGCTTAGACCACATTCCACTTGCTAAGACCATTATCCTTCCCCTCCGGACCTTCCCAGGATCTGGACCCGCCCAGAGAATCCTCTGCCCAGAAAAAAACCCACCTAGAGTCCTTTAAAATCTCTGACTCCCATCACTCGGAGCTGATGCCATTTTGGTCTCAGCCCTGCTGCTAGCAGATGTAACAATACATTTATAATTTTTACCCCTTTTGGCATCATGCATTCCTCCTTCGGTGACCCTAACATTTGGTGCCGAAACCCAGAATGGTGAGGGGACTTTAGGGCAACTACTATACATTGTGGTCACGCTGAAGGGGATGTTGGCTGCGAAGTGGTCTAAAGGTCAGTTCTTAAGGAAGGGGGTATCAATTCAATGATCTGATCAGACCCAACACCTACAACTACATAAGTAACATGCCAGTGAATAAAAGTAACATAAGCATTCTTACGAGAGATCCATAAGTACCTGTCACCAGCCAATACTTCTCACTCACATTAAAAATATTTAGTAATGATTCTAAAAAGATAACTTCACGTTAAAAGGGAACTCAGAGGCAGACGCTGCAGAGAGGAAGAGCGCCGTGGAGAAATGAAACCAGCTTACTACTGCTCCCTGCTTCTGCCGTCACCTTCCTGCGACGCAGGATCCTCTCTAACTCACTCTCGCTGCTCTCAGTGTGAAGGGATTTTAAGCTTCTGGAACTAGTGGATTTGTTAAGTGTCCCCTAAAGTGAAAACAAAACAAAACGAAAAAGGTTAATAATGGCTTAACACAACATACAAAAGAACATAAAAATAAAACCACCAAAACATTACCAGAATTTGAATGGAATTCGAAAATAAAATGAACTTTACATATATTTTTTTTTCATGTGCATATCTTCAACAACACATAGTGTTGGCTCATTTAAGAAGATGCTCCTGAGGCTGTAAGATGTTAGCGCTCATATCAAAAGAACAGGACAAGAACACCCCTGGATGTGCTAACTACACGGAATTCAGTGGCGGGAAGGTACCTGCACAACGATGATTAAGATTCTGATGTGTGTTGATCCGTTGCGTGGAGAAGAGGATGGACATACTGAACTCACCTGAGAAGCGTATCTTGAGACGGCAGCAGCCACATGCTACAGAATCAAAACCCTGGTGGCCCTAAAAAACGTGTGGCTGATTCTTCAGAGAAGGACCTTGACTGCACAATGGTGCCTCAGTTGCCAAAGGAGGCGCACAAAGCTCTCCAGTGGCCTGACCCAAAGCGTGCTGCACCGGGGCTTCACTGTGAAAGAGGAAGGGTTACACTCCCGCAGGGAGGCGAGGAAGGGCCCGGCATTGGCATCGTGGCTCCAGAACCCTCACAGAGGAGGCAGTGACTGGGTGTCCTTCAGGCCCAGAGATACTGGAGGAAACAAGAGATGCCATCGAGCTGTGCTCCTGCTGAAATCGGTCCTGACCTTCAAGACGACAGAGAACGCCCCAGGCAGTGGTCCCCTGCCCTGGCTGCTCTGGGAAGTGTGTTATGGAGGGAGAGCTATGGAACAGAACACTAACTGATGGTTTGATCAGAGCAAATCAGAACCTCGAGTTTGGTACAATTTGCCTGACTTCGTGCCCGGGTGGGAAGGCAGCTTTTGTCCACCCAGGCTAACCACCAGGCCGGCCTTTGTCATTTCTGCGCTCACCGCGGGCTTGCTCTTTGTTCCCTGCTAATAACTTCCTATGGACCCTAAGAACTCTACTCACTAAAAATGATAACTCTTTAGCCTATAAAACAAAAAACGTTTGTAAAACCAGGTAATTACAAATCTCATAGGACACAGGCTATTACGCTGTTTTGTATAGGAAGGTTTTTTCCTCCCTAACAGCATACAGTTCTAGGAAAGCAGCCTGTGGTCAGGGAGGGCCTTGACTAACGAGATGAGGAGATTGTATGCTTCTCCAAACCGATGTGTAGAGCACTTAGATAAGGCTCACATGTTAGTCAAGCATAAATCACACTCTTCCCCCCACCCCACCCAAAACTACATCTTTCTGCTTTTCATTTATTGCGAATATTCGTAAAATACATTCAAAGGAACACCACATTAAATGTAACATGATAACAGCTAAGTTTTTAATTTAAAAATTATTTGCTTTACTTCACAGTTAACAAGCAGATCTGTATCTACTTATCGTAAGGAAGGATAAACACTGAGAAGGTAAGGAAAACAGAACTGAAGCCAATTTTGATAAATTTTTAAACATGTACTAAAAAAACCATTTCCAACTCACTTGTGTTTATAATTTTAAAAAACTTACCAGCTGTATTGTATGTAAGCAGATATTACTTAAAGGAATGGCCATTATTATTAAAACAACTCATAAAACCACACTGTTTGAATGTCAAGGACATTCTGTATGATTTTCCTAATGGCTGGAGTTAATGGCTATCTTTTATGGAAGAATTTATCTTTCATAATATTCTCTATTTTTCATTTAGATGACAGCATTATTTCCTCAAATTCTTGACTATGATGAATGACCCTCTCTTCACCTGATACCGAAGGAACCCATTTTCAAGTTCGAATCCTTGAATCCCACACTTTTCCTCCACTCACTGACTGATAGGGTTGATTCAGCTAATACATAAGTACATTTTAGATATGGAGGCAATTATGGGAGAAAGAAAGGTTTCTGCATGACTCTCAACTGAAATAATAAAGGAGCTCAGCTAATAAAGTACGAAGATTATCTTAATTATCCATTTACACTATAATCATAGATTGTAAGAACCAGAAATTAACTTGGGAGCCATCTGGTATGTACAATTCCTTCACCTTATAGAGGGGAAAGCCTCGCGGTTTGGGCCAGATCCCAAGACAAGGCAGTGATAGGGCGGGGCCTTGACCCTGGCTCTTCTAATTCCCAAATCAGTTCTCTATCCCTACTCTGACCCTCTTGGATCATGGACCGACCAATCTTAGTCCCCACGTTGGTGAAATGTTCATAATACCAAGTAATCTAATTGTCGGGTGGAAAAATTAACTATTTAACAATTTCTGGGTATTTTGAAAAACTGAAGATGTTCGAGAAAGACCTGTAAGAGAATTTTTTCAAATGCTCTTTTTGTTTCTTTGATTTGGAGGCAACTGCATTTGAAGAGAGACTTTTAGATTCATTTGTCTTGATTTAAACTTCAGAAACCGCCATATTCACTTTGACTTTTAAATGATTGGGAGACTCAAGATAACCCTTGTGTGACTATAAGAAATGAATATATCATTTTTAAATCTGCAATGTACACCATTTTTAAAAATGAAGTATAAATAGGCTTAGAAAAATGAGTCCCGTCAACACGGAGACTTTACAAATTAGCTGGGAAACTGGACAACTCAAAATAGAGTGAGGTTTTCCAAACCAGAGATTTCTTTTCTACGCAGCTGCTAACTTTGAGCAATAGGCCAAACCTCTTACCACTCAGATCTCGTCTCATTCACTGCAGCAAACACACCGCTGATTTTACTCCTGGTCTCTGTCCCACCACAGTACTGAACAGGCTGTTTCCTGGTTTCCTGGCATCTCTCAGTCACTTTCCATCTCAGGGTATAACCTGTAGGATTTCCTATTCTTTTCCTGTTTATCACATGTCACACTGTGAGGTTGGTGTCATGTGCTTTGCTGGGCACTAAATCTGATCATCCTAATAGTCTGAACTCCAGCAAAAAAGCACTAATATAGCCCCTCGAATAGGGGCTTCTTTTTTCTCTCTCTCACAAGAAGCTGTATGGTTTCTTGGCACCAGGTGGCTGGGCGGGGCAAGTGATCCATCACCCCTCAAAGGGACTTCTATGGGGGCAGAGGAGAGTTGCCATTGGGCAAAGGAAGAGCAGGGGAGGACACGGTGAGTTTCACTTTTAAATAAACCCAAAACAATTTACTGCAAAAAAATAATATTGTCAGAGTAACAGCTATGATGGTACATCAATGCCAGATGAGGTGGAGAAGCCTAGTGCTAAATCCAGGACGAGGAGGAGAGGGGGCGATTTGCAGAGGGGGAAAAGATGTTTGGACAGTTTTTATAATTTGTAAATTATTTCACAAAAATTTATTTCAGAAATTTCTCTCCTTGAAGTGGCACAAAATTACAGTGAGCGGGATTGTATAGCGCACGTGGTCTTTAAGAGCAATGCTGCAATCAGCAAACTTGCCACCCTCCGGCATTATCAGGGGGCAGCACACCCTGGGCACTCCAATGTCATATGGATCCCACATCGATGTCTGATTTTTCAAATAAACCTAATCTTTTAGAAGTCACACTCAGTATGGTTGATTCTTTCACTGATGGTCAAAACTATACTCTCTAGAATCTCACAGTGCCTGGGGGACATTTTCTTGAACAGGAATTAGCATTACAATGTAGAGACAACAAAAAAGACTGTCATTGCTCTGGCCTGTGTGGCTCAGTTGGTTGACCATCATCCTGTGTACTGAGGGGTCACTAGTTCAATTCCCGGTCAGGGCACGTGCCTGGGTTGCAGGCTCGATCCCCCGTAGGGGGCGTGCAGGAAACAGCCGATGTTTCTCTCTCTCTCTCTCTCTCTCTCTCTCTCTCTCTCTCTCCCTCTCCCTTCCCCTCTGTCTACAATCAATAAAAACGTATTTTTTAAAACAGGGACTGTCACAGTTCTCCTTAACAGAACACTGGATCACAACATTTTCTCATCACAGAATCCCTTAGCTCACAGCCACATACTTTATCAATGGTTTTAATACTTTACTCTGCAGGCAGACCAGCAGGTGAGCCACCACTACACCTCTCTCGAGTACCAATCCCACTCACCTAACACTAAAGCTAACTAATTAAGCCATTCTGAGTTAAGTCTATTGTTTCCTGCTTGATGAAAGTAATTTTGTTTACCACAATTAGGGGATGTCTACATGCAATGCATAATTAGCACAGTAACCACAAACATGGGAATATCAATTCGTACCTCCACCCCCATGTTTGTTGACTTACTGTGCATAATGACTGGTATTGAGACTGTAACAGGATCTGAGAACAGGGCTCTTAGCATCTGAAACATTCCCTAAGTGAGGCGTTTGTCTCTGAGAGCAACCGCTGGAGAGGGCAGTCCTCATTTATTCTGCTGGCAAAAGCTCATGCTCTGGAAAGGAGACATATAGCTAGCGGTGGGCATCGAGTGTGTTCTCCAAAGGCTATGAATTAGTTTTAGAAAATAAAATTAGTAACACAAAGAAAGGGGCTTTTATTCTCCAGCTTACCATCAAATCATTTTCCTAAACCGTGAAAAACGCAGACCGTGACCCTGACGTGAACATACTTGGGTAGAAGCTCAGATTTACAGTTAGATACCAAGAATTCCACTCTCCTGCCCCAAAGTTAAGAGATTCTGCTATACTTCTGTTATTAATAAGCAAGTACCCATCCTCACGCCTGGCCAGACATTTCATCTTCAAGCTGTAATGCAAGGATTGGAGGGCAAGAACAAGCAACAACGATTTTGGCGAACGGGGGACCGCTCTTTCAGAATGCAAACAGCTGAGTATTGATACATTAATAAGCCACCCAATGGAGGAGCCCATAACACAATCAAGTAAACTATCAAAAGAAATGAGGCTACTGCCGATGGAAATAAAACATATCAAGCCAATTATTCACGAAAATCGATTTCAAAAACATTCTCCTTTCATTTTCCCATTAGCTGAGTAATACACTGAGATCTGTTCTTACCAGTATTCCTTTTAATTCATTCACTGCACTTTCAGAGCCTTTGGGAGATTCTGGCTACAATGAAAAAAAAGAAAAGTTACTGAGCAACTCATTTTAAAAATATAAACAAACAGTTTACATGACAAAGTGTTGGCAGCTTATATTCACTGTTTTTTAAAATTAGGTCCACGTCTTACTGTTAGGAAAAAATATTAGACAGGTTAGTGCTCCCAGATGGCAGTTGAGTAGAAAATTAGAAGTCATATTCAAAGCAAAAGGACTCAAGCCACCATGTTCTAAATATCATTTTGTTACTTGCTTGTCATCAGACACAGGAAAAAAAGAATTGGCAAACAGCAGACTTCAAAGACTTAATTTCACATTATTCCGAGTGTCTCACAGCAAGCTTCTCCACGCGGGTCGCTGGGCTTCCACCAGCAAGTGAGGACCAGGAAGGCTGCAGAGCAGAAAGCAAGCGACAGGGCAGGAAACCTCTCTCAGCTCCATGAGCTCCGGGCAAAAGCCAGGGACAGAGACCGGCACACGTTGTTTTGTGAATTTCACAACAGGACTGAGTCGGGAGCAGGTACCAGCAAAGAACCGGCTTACAGGAGACGTGAGCATCCCTGGCTATGAGGCAGGAAAAGAGCCTGGCTGGTGAGGCTCAGTATTTGAGTGTCAACCTATGAACCAGGAGGTCACGGTTCGATTCCCGGTCAGGGCACATGCCAGGGTTTCAGGCTCGATCCCCAGTAAGGGGCTTGCAGGAGGCAGCTGATGGATGATTCTCTCTCTCCCTCTCCCTTCCTCTTTGAAATCAATAAAAAAACAAAAACAAAACAAAAAAACAAACAGTAAAAGACCTCAGAGTGTGTGTAGTCCGACCACTTCGTCTTACTGATAAGGAAAGTTACACCTGGGGAAGGTTGTATTTGAATCAGTGTCTTGATTACAAGCCCAGGTCTCTCCTGGCTACACCATGAATAAAACCATTTGCGTAAGTTCTGGGTATTATATGGACCGGCCCCATCATACCTACCAGTCTCTGTGGATCCCTCACCTCATTCCCCTGGAGGGGAAATTTAGCATGAGGACCTCAGGAAAAGATCAAAGAAGACCTCTGACCTCCCCCTTCCCGGAGGGTAGAGAGGCAGAGAAAGCCCGCCCGCCGGACAGTGCAAGGACCCCTCAGCCTCTAGTCCTGGGAAGATGTGAAGGCTGATTCCCAGCAGGAAATGGGAGGTGATTCTTAGCAACCTATAACCCTCTTCTCTCAAAACACAGTCAGAAGAAGACCCCCTGCCAATGTTTAAAAGTGGACTGTCACCGAAAAGGGAGAGAGGGAGAGAGGGAGAAGGAAGGAGAGAGGTTTGCTGCGCTGGTTGGTGCACATGAGACGAAGGCATTCTCCTCCCCTAGCCTAGGACTTCTGTGAAACAGGCATGCCATCGGTGCCAGGCCCAAGCTCTCATACACGCATCCCCACCACACCAGCACGGCCAACGCCATCCAGGAATTTGGGGAATATGCAGCTTGAGTTCTGCAGGTGACAAGCTGTGACTTCCGAACGAATGCCCTGGCTAAAGGCACACTCCGTCGGCGTCAGCCTCGGAGCCTGGGCCGCATGCTCGCACACTTGGGACGTGCCCGGGTGGGCAGTGGCCACCTGTTGTAAAGGGGACTGGCCAGGCCATTCAGCACTACAGCTACACAGTTTCACAATTACCAGCGAAAAACCCACTCGTCCACTGATCCTTGTTCAGCTGTCTTCCAGGTTTGGAATTGACATTGAATAATGTGTAACTGTTGGAAGAGTACATACAGAACATGGATTACTTATCATTTAAGAAGCTTTTAAGGTTGTTTCTTTCTAAAGTAATCTGTCTTCTTTATAACACAGCTTTATTTTTGCTGTTTTTTTTCCTACAGCAATAGCTTGGTTTTGCTTGTTCTTCCCAAACTAGTGGTGCCGTGTAAGTCCTAAGAGTGTATTCTTTCCAAGGTTCCGCCTGGACCCTGCGTTTTGGAGTGTTTGCACACTTGATCCCATTTGATCGGACAACAACCCCGGGAGTCGGGCAGGGCAGGCGCTGTTCCCCGTCTGGGAGGACCAAGCCTGGGTCCAGGGGCGTGTGAGGCCCCACCTCCCACAACAGCGCTCTGTCCTCAGTCGCCAGACACCAGCGCTGAAACAGCTGTACTCGGTTGCTCCTCCTGCTCTACGCCCTGCCCCTGACTTTGAAACTGGCTTTCAGAGCAGCAGCACAAGACGGACTCACCCCCCGTGGTCAGGGAGCTTCCACGTCACCGCATGTCAGCCTACTCTTGGAGTTGTGTCTTCTTTCCAACCCTTTTTCCATGTTCAGCCCACACCGTGGCCATGCTTGCCTGGCCTGGCCATCTTGCCTGCCTGTGGCCAAGTGGCAACTGTCACAGCCCAGCAGAATTTGTACGGAACAGTTTCACTACTTGGGGACATTGAAGCAGCTGAAGGAGAGGCATCTTTGGAGTAAGGAAGAACCTTAAGGTCTGTTTTAAAAGTAGAAGAAAGAGAACCAACCCACTGATATCTTACTAAAGTGAAAAAGTAGTCCCCCCCACTCCCCCCCCCAAAAAAAAGGTCAAGCCCTGGCCAGGTGGCTCAGGCGGTTGGAACATCGTCCCATACACCAAAAGGTTGCAGGTTCGCTCCCTGGTCAGGGCACGTATCTAGGTTGTGGATTCGATCCCTGGTTGGGGTGCATTCAGGAGGCAACTGATTGATGTTTCACATCGATGTTTCTCTCTCCCTCTCTCTCTCCCTCCCTTTCCCTCCCTCTCTTGCTAAAATCAATAAAAATCATGTCCTCGGGTAAGGATTTTTTTTAAAAAGAAAGAAAGAAATGTCCAAAACCCCATTATGGGGCCTACTGAAATGGGACAGGCGTACAAGGGGAAGCACTGAACTAGACTCTTAGGGCTTCGCGGGTCCTGGCACTCCATGTGGTCTTCAAGTGTAGAAGGCAGCTGATGACACAAACACACAAAATCTCTCCTTGAAGCGACTGGGAATCAGTTTGTGAAATCAGTGAAAACAACCATATAAATCTCACTATTTCTCAAAAGTCGTCCTAGGTCTGTTCTGGCATCAGTATGTGACCCTGGCCCCTAGCTCCTGTCCCCCGCCACACCCCGACACAGACACAAGTAGAAGCCTCAGGAAGGCAAGAATTTTTGTCTCTCCTGTTTATTGCTTTATCGTCAGTGCCTAAAGCAGTACCTGGCATTCATCAGGTACTCAATAAGTACTTGTTAAATTACACAAAATAGCCAGGAATTAAAGAAAAGAAAGAGTAGTGTCATAACTGTTATCTGTTTGGTATAACAGTTCCTCTCAGTGTCTCTCTCAAGTTGATGGCAGCATCTTACAAGAACAGGACTTCGTTTCCATGGTGATATAGGGCTACCCTGGGTCAAACAGAGTCCTCCTGAAACCTGCTTATGGAAATGAAGGCTTTTATGACACATTAGCCTTATCCTAAGATGCGACAGTCAGTCCGGATACAGCTTGCATCACATTTCGAAATTTCACATTCAAAGCAAGAAACATCCGGGGGGAGAGAAAGCATTTAGTCATTCCATACCTGTGCCTTCGGCCTCGCTGCCTGGTTAACGGGTCTAAGATGAACTCCCTTTTTAATCCTGTCCATCATCTCTTCAACGGCTTGCCTCTTCAGATCCGTGACTTCTTCAGCTATTCAGAGAGCACACACAGAAATCATCTTAGATTACAGGAAAACCGCCACGTCCTATTTGTGGTGGCTTAGATTGTACTATGTAATGAACCGCAGTCATTTTTCAAAGTCACAAAACACCAACAATTTAAGGTTCAGAGTTACCAGATAGCAACATATTTTTCATAAAAGTCTTTTAAGAAAAGATCTGCTTTGAAAAATAAGCGTTATAAATTTTGAGGTCTAATTTGCAACCTGGAAATCAATAGCGGCTCATCTGTGTTAGGCAATTAAGTGGATTTTGTTCCTTTTGTCAGCAGAACGTGAGACCTGAGTTTCTACCGGTCTTTAAAAACCCAACTTTGTAGCTAACCCCGAATAATCATTCATCTTTGTCTCCAAGATATTTTTATAAGTCATAGTACATCCTATGTCAAAGAAATCAGCCCGAAGAAGAAATAACTATAAAAAAGCCCATTTGAAAATAAATGATCAAAATGATTCTTTTACTTCTCAAAAGAAATTAAGTCAAAAAGATGAGCAGCAAAGAGATAAAAATCTCTTTTTTAAATTGCCATCTTTTGTTTAGGAATCACACGGGAAGGAAACATTTAAGCAAACCTTTTTCAAGTCTTTTAAAACTGTCAATGTTAAAAGCAAACACACACCTAGAAATGACTGCAATTGAGTAATTAAGTTTGATTTAAAAATTTCAATGGTCTATTGTCTAACCTTTGCACCATTTTGCTGCAAAAACAATAAAGCTGTTGAAATATGTGTCAATTAGATGAATGCAACTGTGGGGAGCTTCAACCTGTTGATCAGAATACAGAAATTTGTCTCTTTTGCAGAATAGCTTGACCAAAAAGCACGGAATCATTTTTGGAATATTTATCACTATTAATGCGATTCTAGATCTCGTGTTTACCTCCACCTAAGGCACCGCAGCCAATATAGTTACGTTAAAATATTTCATAAAGACCTTCTAATTAGCATCTTTAATAAGACTCCACATGGTAGGGCATCTAGCGGGCACTCAACAACAATCTACCTACTGACTGACTTTGTAAAGTTTGGGCTTTAAATGGCTATTAATATTTTTATTATTTGAGCAGAAAGAGCTACGCCCCAAAAGGATGGTTTCTAAATGGAGACGATCACAACTACATCCCCAAGCTAACTGACAGTAGGGGCAGGCTTTGCCCTAAGAAGGCATAAACCATGGCTTCTTTTTCTGCTATATGGCCGAAATTCACTAGCAGAAGGTTCCAGAAATGACTACTTGGGCTTAGTCACAAAGTTGGGTTTTTTCAGAGTCCAGAAGGTTCCATTCTCCACACTCTGTGAGCGCCGTAGTGATGGGATCATTGCTACATTCATTGCATAACCTAGGTTTCCTGACGCAGTCCTTATTTCCAATAGTACTGTCATCCTCACAAGCCATTGGAATGCCGGGAATTAAAATAGCCAAACAGCATTTTTCATATCCAGAAGTTAAAAAAAAAAAAGTGGGAAAAATGGCACCAAAGTCAGAACTCATCCACTAGAAAATGAAAAGGACAAAACTGTGGGTTGATCAACTATGAGCCCTTAAGTAGCATTTTCCTGGGCAGCTTCTGCTGATGGCTCACCAACACCAACAAGGGGACAAAGAAGAAAATTATTATGGACAGAAATTCATTCATTCATTCGTTCATTCACTCACTCACTCACCCATTCAAATGTGAATACCTAAAATAAAGCACTATGCAGTGCTTTTGCTGACCCTATTCAAAACCAAAGGAGATAAAATCCAGACCTGTCGTTCAAGCACCTAGCATGGGTATGGAATTTCTTCCTGGGAATTAAAAACAAAAAAAAATACAAAAGACACATTTGATGTTCAAAAAGGCTGCCATTTGGAGTGAGACTTGGGAAGAGCTCATGGCAACAGTGCCTACAAACAGATTAGCGCTCTGTAAGGAATGACTGAAATCCAATTAAATGCACCACACAAAACTACTTAAGGCAGACAGATGGAGAATTATGGTCAACACCATTCAAATCTGCTGCAGCATCTAACATAGCAGGAATTTAAAGTAGTTTCTTATTTTTGCTTGCCAGCATCATAGTGATAATTCAGAGCAGTGCCACTATCTGGACTGTGTACTGATTCTAAACCAGACTTTGATTTCTCTGTCTTTTTCAAATGTAAAGGCTTAATTGGTCTTAAGGAAAAAGAAATCACTCTTATCAGAGTCCCTGCTCGGGCACAATACGAAGGCAACGCTGGGTTAGCTACACAAGCTTTCTTTCTCCCTGACCCTGTTTTTGAACCAGCAAAAAGCAATCTATACGAACTTCTCAACTGCGAAGCTGTTCTAATAAATCTGCAAGAATCGCCCACGGAGAGCTCGAGGTCTGTTTTGTAATTCTCTCTGCAATCATGCAGTTGGTAATTGTCTCACAAAAGCATGTAATCAGGGGGACAATAGAAATATGCAGGGGACTGGAGATTAAAGAAAGGGGACAAATGAAGACAACAGGTCTAATGTTATTGAACTGCCACAGGGAAATAAAATCAAATGTTCTTTGAGTTAGTGCTTCAAGGTCAGTCTTGGATCAGAAAGCTATGTGTAATTAATAGAGGCTTAAATCTTAAGACCCACTTGAAAAATAATTCCTTAAAAAAAGAAAAAGAAAAGAAGAAAAAGACCCACAGACAAACCATCACCTTATTGCTCAATAAAATCTTTTATTATTACCTAGAAGAAACTAAAATGAATGTTTAATGCCAAAGGATTACTTTTCTCTTTCAGAAACATTTTTTTCTTAAAAGGCATTAAAAAAAAAATCAATGCCACCATGACGCACAAAATTTCTATAGAACACATCATGGTTGAACGAGTCTGAATTTGACCCGAGGTCATAAAGTTAAGGAAATTTCCTTAACTACAATGATCACAAGAGCCTGCCCAATCAGGACTCCTGCCCCACAATAGGGTGGTTAGGACGTTGTCCAATTTGTTATTTATTTCTTTTTAGCTAACATGTTGGGTATTTTCTATATGCTAAATATTACTCTAAATGCTTTACATGTTATTAATTCTCACAACTCTATGAAATAGGAACCACTATTATCCCCACTCTATGGATTAGTAAACTGAGGTAAGAAAATATCAACCAATTAATGACCTAAATATGTGAAATCTCAGAATGTGTCCAATAACTGCATTCTTATCAAAATTAGTAACTAACTTCAAAGTCTATAATGATTTCTTATATTTAAACCTTAAAACTAGTATAATATTCCACAGACCTTCCCTACCATTAAGAGCCATAACCTACCAACAAAAGTTTCTCCATTCATCAGCTCTGAAAGGCAAACCAACTGAATAGTAAAAGCCACCATGAGATGCTAACATTAAAAAATGCCATGCCAGCCAGGCTGGTCCCTTCATTTCACATGTAAATTCCAAAGTGTCACAGAAGAGCCCAGTGTTTGATGCTCTACATTCACTCATCATGCATTTAATCACTGTTGATGTGATTATTCATTCAACAACCATTTTTCTGTGTGAACTATTAACAAGACACGCTAAATAACTACCTCGCCGGACAGAGAGAGAGGCTCCAGTCACGTGTGGCTATGGCACACATCGTTTAAGGTGGTATGATTTTAGAGAGGTTCCCATTTAAAATCTCACGAGCAACTTCTGTGTCAGTCACTCTACTCAGATTCCCAAAGTACAATGCAATAGCTCCAGGATAAGGGAGGAAATACCATCACGCTTCCTGAATTGTAACTGAAACGTCATTTTCATAAGGAAAAGTACGGTTTCTAACATTGGGGGTTAATAAGTTCTAGAATACTTTCTTTCCATGTAAGGGTGCTGAGCAGGTTAATAAGCTAATGACGTCATTTACTCAGGAGAGGAAATCATTTTGTTCTGACTACCCTCCTGACCCTCCCAGACTTATCAACGGTCCCAAAACAAGATCGAAACAATTTTAATTCCAGGGTCAGCGAAGGTGCAGAGCCAGGAACCCAGGAGCAGGGCTGTCCTGCAAATGGCCAAAGGCAGGGCTTTCTCTGAGTCGGGCCACGCCCTGTGCAAAGCAGAATTTGCCTTTCAGCTGCATTACTGTGCAGAGGAATAGACTACAAAAGGCTACAGGAATCAGGGACAGAAAGTCGATTCGCACACATGAAATACAACAAGCGTACGGATTGTTAAAAACGTGTACACCATCAACCACTGAAAGTAAAGCAAGGGGTGGGGGGGGGGGGGGGGTAATTG